TCATTATCAAATTTTACCTTTTAATTTAAAATTACAATTTTCTTAATTAAGACAACGGGAAATTACGTAGTACCGAAAGGGCGGTTCAAGGGTGCTAATCCTTCCTTGACCGTAACCAACTCCCGAGCCCGACATATTTCTGGTAAGAAGCAGATCAGGTAAGAAATAGGGTATCCGGTCAACCCATTTATTTTTAAATAAATGATCGGTGGCGACTCCCAATCTACATTTTTCAAGTCGAAGCCCAATCCCGGGACCCAACCGAAATACGGGTGCGACAATGAAGAAAATGAAAGGATGAAGTTTAAAGAATTAGATGTGATAAAGATTATGTTGAGATATAGGTTATAAGTTTAACCAGAAGTAAGAAAGGTATGTCAGGTAATATGAGAAATTGTTGAGTTATGCAAAGTGTATGTTTAATCAGTTATGATGAAGATTTAAGGTTATGTTTCTTGGTCAAGTGGATGTAGTCAGAGAAATGAATAAAGATTTATATGTATTAATGAAGTTTTGGAGTCAGTCAAGTAAGGATGAAATAAAAGTTTGGTGATTCTTGAAAGACAGTTGAAGATTGACAAGGAATTTGATTGATTTATGAGTTTGAGTAATAAGAATTAATGTTATTGTCTATCTGATAAGTGACATGATAGGAGATATAAAGTAAAAAGGTAGTCGAATAATTGGAAAGATAAGAACCAAGTTATTAAAGATGATACAAAAGATTAAGTTCAGAAAGCAGCATGAGAACGTTATAAGATATGTTCTTCTCAGGATGTGCAGTGAAAATTCGAGGAAGAATTTTTTTTTAAATGAGGGGAGATTTGTAACATCCCAAACTATGGGTTAGTGACCAAATTGTAAAGTTTTAGAATTTGGTGACTAAAGTAGAAGAATGGATTAGTTCAGTGATTTACTTGGAAGTATTTCCTAAAAGTTGTTAGTAATTATTAAAGGAACTAAAGGGTAAAATGGTTATTTGATCATGTAAGGAATTAAAAAAAATGTGATAGTGGGAATATATATATTTTACACGTGGGAATTAGGGGAAACAATGTTTCCAGAATTCTCTTCTCCTCCTTTCTTCTTTGTGCGTGAAGCTCCAGCTCAAATATGAGTTTCTTAATTAGTTGGTTATTTGTTGAATTAAAAGTTGGGTTATGACTCTTAGGTGATACTTAAGCTTAAGGAAAGCTTAAGTTATCTTAAAATCAAAAGATAAATGAGTTAGGGAAGATTAAAGATTTGGAGTTCTTGAGTGAATTTCCAGAATGGAGTTGATAAGTTGAACTTGAAGCTAAATTTGACTTGTCATCAGCTTAATTAAGAAGTATTAAGTGTTAGAATTGGATTTGAAACATGTGAAAAATAGAGTATGATTCTTGAAATTCCTAAAGAGGAGAGGATATTAAGGTTAAATATGAGATAAATGAATATTAATGAGTTTAAGTATGTATATGAAAGTTAGGAATATGAAAGGGGTTGAAATATGAAGGATTTAATCCAAAAAGAATGAATTTTCAGGTTCAAAAAGAGGTTTTGGGCAGAGTGCATCGATGCACATTCATAGTGCACCGATGCATCAATGTTAAAACCCAGAAATTTGTTTGAATGTGTATCGATGCATTGGTAGTGCATCGATGCACTCTTTTAAAATAAATACATCGAATGCAATTTGTGCATCGATCCATAAGTAGTGCATCGATGCATCCCATTAATAAGGAAACATCGAATGCAATTAGTGCATCGATGCATAAGGCATGCATCGATGCATCCCAGTAATAAACAAACATCGAATGCATTTTATGCACCGATGCATCAGTAGTGCATCGATGCATACCTTCATTAAAAGATGAAATTGCCTTTTCTCTTAGTCTAAAGAGTGAACCATTATAGTATGTTAGTTATAATACTAATATAGATCTATGTATGATGATGTAGATATAGAACGTGATCCCGTTCCGGATCAATTGAAGGATTATAATTGAATCAAAGCAAAGCTAAGGTGAGTGCACCTTCTTTAGTATATGAGGTTCAAGGGAAAATAAGACTTGTGATAAGTCTATTTCCAATAGTGAAAAACATGAATTCATAGAAGTATATATATTTGTTATGATTGATATGAGTGCATGAGTATATGTGTTATTGATATGAATATGGTAAGTAAAAGGGATTAATGGTGATGATAAGAATAATAATAAGGATAATGAAATGATAGGTATATGTGAATATTGGTATTGATGTGTTTTGTATGTATTGTAAGATGATATGTTTATGTGATAACATGATAAGATGAAAATGGTTTACATGTCATATGAACACATGAGAAATGTTATGAGCCATATGAAAGAGAAAGTATATGTGATACATGAGGGTGAATCCTATGTTTATATGAATATAAACTTATATGAGAATTGACATGAACTACGTGATTACATGCATATGTGAATGAAACCATGAGCTTATATGAATATATGATATGGTTACATGAATATGTAAAAGGATATAAAAGATAATGCCCATGTTATGTGTCATGAGAGCTAGGGGTATAGTTGGCATGCCAAGAGTCGAGGGTTTACCTATGTCTTTCGAGACATATGGACAGTTTACCTAGGTTCTTCGGGACCTATGGACAGTTACCGAGGATTTTTATGACCTCTGGACAGTTACTGAGGATCTTTATGACCTCTGGATAGTTACCGGGGTCTTTGTGACCTCTGGATAGGTCTTTTGGGACATTTATATGAGCTGTGGTGACAGCATAGTGGTGCACAACCTCAATAGACTCACATATCTACAATTCTCACAGGTGCACATGGGCTAATAAGAGATAACATGGAATGTACTGTATATGATATATGTGTGTTAGTGATTATTGTATATGCTATAAGATATATGATATGAGCTTAATTGATCATATAAACAAGAGAATAGAAATATGAAAGGTGATAATATGATAATGATAGGAAAGAAGATAATTATATGTATGCGTGGATATGTATATATATATATATATATATATATATGAAAGGTGCATAGTAGGAATTATTACATGTATATGTGGGTATGATGCTTGTATGTGATATGTTAGTAGAAATTGTTCAAGCATGATTACGAGTTAGAGTTTTATTATATGTTTTATGCCTCACTAAGTCAACGGCTTAGCGTGTGATTGTTTCACACGTAGGTTACAGAAGTGAGAAGAGTAAAGAGCTAAGAGGAGCAAGACAGGTCAGCATTTTCCTTACAAAGTTTCAGATCAGAAAATAGATTATTTAAATGTGTATGGTTAATCTGAATATAATTGGCATGTACTAATTGATTGAGCTGAATATGCTCTGGTCGATTTTGGTCAATTTATGTAAATACACAGTTTTTATTTTAATGAAAGTTTTAAATTTTTCTTTGAATTTTTGTCAAGAGTCAAAGTTTGAAAAGTCAATGTGACACCTCAAACTCGTATTCGGGTCGGATACGGGTTGAGGGTGTTACACTCACCCTTATTCTGCAACAGAGGTGGCTAAGCTATACCTAGACAATGTGTATAAGCTACATGGCCAGCCTAAGATGGCCATTTCTGATAGAGACAATACCTTCACAAGTGTTTTTTGGAGAGAATTAATGAAACAGCTTGGAACAAAGACACTTTTCAGTACTGTTTACCATCTAGAAACAGATGGTCAAACAGAGAGAGTCAACCAATGTTTAGAGCAGTATTTGAGAGGCCTTTGCTTCTATCAACCTAAGCAATGGGCTAAGTGGTACCACATGCAGACTACAAAATAAGGTTATAAAACAGCACACCATCTAAAATCTAAGATCCGCACTACATTCAATCAATTAGATCAGCCAACAAAAACAAAGATTCAGGTGGCAAGCATCTCAAGGCTCTAATTTTAACCGCATTTCCTCCTACCAGGCTACTACTTTTTCTCATTATAGCTCAGATGATACTGCTCATCATGCTAAAACTATATTGACACATCCTATGATTACAAGACCTAGAGCGGGTATACTCGAACTAAGGGTTTTTTCCCCATGAAATAGTTGAATGTGAACTACGAAATACTCAAACTTGATTTAGGTATTGTTTTAGAAACCAAGAACTATTATATAATGTCGAAAAGAAGAGTTGTATATCCCCGACATCTTGAATGCCTAAATAAAGAGACTGTACATTGCAAACTCCCCGAAGAAGATTTGCTGCAGTTTCACGATCATCGTCAACCATTTGAGTGATGTAAATTTCCACTCTTTCTAGATATTTCATTTCGCTTAAAGTAAATCCTTCAGCCTCTCCATCAACATATTTGAAATAAACAAGATTTGGAGCATTAATCTTGATGGATATAAAATCTCTAGGAGGACCGACATACAGCCAAACTAAATTTAATACCAATGTCCTAAGTGAAAGGTTATGGATATTGAGCTAACTTATATTTTGAAATTTACAATGAAGAGTTGCTACTAGAAATTAACCTAAGAACTATAGAGCATGCCAAACGTAGAGTCTTCAGACTTGGTAAACAAACATTAGACGGGACCTTCAGAACACAATTGATACTCGATTTCAATGTCTGGCAAGTAAACAGAAAACTTGGTAAATTGCAACCATACTTGAACATCAATTTTATATCAATTTTCTTAACGCCACACCACAACACAGCACATATCCAACGATTAATGCGTAAATAATTCTCACCCTGTGGAATTCTTGAAAAAGAATCCATTGACAAAATTCATGAAGTTGTTGTCCTTTTCACTAAGCTCTGGTATAAGCGACAAGCAACTATTACAATCAAGGAGAGAAATTGATGAAGCAGAAAATACCTCCACCTGGGTGAAAGAATTGTTCGAACTTCATCTTTAAGGGAAAGGAAGGACAAAATACGGCAAAGAATATGATCAGTCAAACTACTTATTCTACCAGAGCCACCCACAACTCTACTTGCTCGGCCATGAATAAAAAAAAAGCCGATTCCAGAGGGTTCTTTTTTTTTCTTTGGGTGCTTTAAGGTCCATGGACGTTGCAATCTAATTTCAACAGTTCCTCCAACTAAAGTCTTTTAGAATCATCCAATCTCTTTTTCTGTGTCCACTATCAGTAGCCAATATATCTGAAACCATACCTTTCTTCAAGCAGCAGTGGTTTGTGTTCTTCCATTCCCCATTACTTTAAACCGCATCTCTCTTACCCGCTTCTTCTTCTGTGTAAACTGTAATTCCCTCCCTATTTCCGTCAGCTGAAGCCTTTATACCTCCCTCGTTAGTATTTATCATGCGATCCAATTCATCAGTTGAAATCAGGTTCTTACAACAAAATATCACATTGCATTTGCTACTTACAACAAAAAGTGTTTACAAACCAAACCAATCGAGAAAATAAGTCTCTAAAACAAAACAAAATAGACGGGACAAAATGAAATATTAGGGAGTCACAATTACACATTTTTTTGATTTCTTCGGTAAACTCAATACTTCTTCAATGACAGTCGACTTTTCTTTCTCCCTCGGGCCAATATTTTCAATTACAAGCTTCTCCAGAACTGATGCATGTTTCAAGAAATAGCTAATCATTTCAAACATATTCTCCTCTCCGTCAAAGTATATGATTTCAATCTCCTTGATGTGAAATAACAAACACAAAGGCACAGTTGTAGGCAATGACCTGAACCCTTCTGCTGACGTTCTTTCCTAAGCATACAAAAGAAAGGGATAAAAGGAAAGTTACTTTGTAACAGGGTTTAGGGTGTACTTAAGTTTTCTGCAATTATGGAAATACTTGATACTAAAATGGTCAACTGCAATGATTTTCACAGTAATTTTAAAAAGTAAATAAAATTTGTGCACCCTAATTTAAATGATACTTGGAGAAGCTTTCATACCATAACCAATTCCAGGGTAAGCGTCTTTAGATTAGGCGTGCAATGTAGATACTCCACAATCCACGTTCCTTCCCAATCATCATTATCAAAATTACGAATTACCAGGTCAACGAGGTTGTTAAATTCAAGAACTGGTTCAAGAGGCGTCAGAAAAAACTGTACATGAAAAACCAAGAACTATTATATAATGTTAAATGAAAAGATCATGTTATTCAAGACAAAGACTCTAATATTGCTAACTTCACTAACCGTTTTAGAACAATCTTCAATGGTTAAACAAAGACACTGTACATTGAAAATTCCCTTGAGAAGATTTGTTGCACGTTCATAATCCACACTATTTAACAGAGTGATTTCAATATCAGCTTTTTCTAGAGATTTCATGTCACTTAACGTATAGCCTTCAACCGTTGCATCAACATATTTGAAATAAACAAGATTTGGGGTATCAATCCCGATGACATTGAAATCTCTGTGAGATTGAGATCCAACATACATCGCAGCAAAATCTAAAACCAGCCACTTAAGGGAAAGGTTACGGATATTGAGCTCACTTATGTAAAAAAAATCGCAACAAATAAATTCCAAATTTTCCAGGACATGGCAATTGGAAATTAACCGAAGAACTGAACAACTATCCCAAAATGTGCAGCACCCAAAATGTATAGTCTTCAGATTTGGCAAACAAGTGTTAGACGGAACCTTCATATCACCTTCATTCAATGTCAACGTCACCATTGAATGACAATTAAACATAAGAGTTGGTAAAGTAAAAACATCTAGAAATCCAAATTCAATATCAATTTCCTTAACACCACACCACAGTGCAGCGCATATCCAGCCATTAAGGCGTAAATAACTCTCATCCCGTGGAATGCCATGCTTCCTCACCCAATAGTCATTCACCCTAAAGCATTCTAAACTTAACTGCTTGGGGTTAGAAAGGAATCTGTCAACAAAATTTAGAAAGTTGTTATCATTTTCAGTAAGCACGGGTTGACATGATAAACCATCATTAAAATCAATGATAGACACTGAGGAAGCATAGAGATGCCTCCACCTGAGTGAAATAATTGAGGTTCGAACTATATCTTTGATGGGAAGGAGGGATAAAATTCGACAAAGAATATGATCGGGCAAACTACTTACTCTATCCAAGACGCCAGAAGACTCTACTTGCTCGCCCATGAACCCTAAACTAGTAAATCTCAATTCCAGGAGTTTTGGGGGGACTCAAGGGGTATGGGTGTTGCAACTCGATTCCAACGGTTCCTCCAACTCAAATCTTTTAGAATCACACTTTCTCTGTTTCAAATTCCAGATACAGTCACTAAGATACCTGAAACCATACCTTTCTTCTCTTATCCCTAAACTAGTACGGACTGGCTTATTCTGTGTGAATCAGGGTTTCCTCCGTAATTCTCATTCCAATGACCGTCAAGCTGAAGTCGTATCCCTTCCTCGTTAGGGTTTACAGTGACTCTTTTGGGGTCTAAATTATTTAGTTCAAACCAGGTTATTGTAGGCCTCTATACGTTTTGGGTTTCAATTTGGTTGCAAACATTCGGGCTTGACTTAAACTCTTCAGGCCCAACAGGAGCGTTTCCAAAGCTTGTAGTAGATTCAAAACTTAGGGTGAGTGTAGGATCTAGCCGAGTTAGACAATAAATTTTGAATCATTTTGAGTTAATGAGTCTTATTTTATATTTTTAAACTTGATTTGATTTATTTTATGCTCATTCAAGTTTATAAAATTTGAGTAAAGTTGTTCGATTTTTTTTTTAATTTAATTGTAATATTTATAATATTGATACTATTTATTTCCAATTTAATGGTTATATATATATATATTCTCTCCCTTCAGCATGTACAAGTTTGTTGATATATTTTCGCCTTTCATCACCACAAGCGCTCCACGGAACACCTTCATGATTCCTTTCCGTGTTTCAATCTTGCTTGTATTATTATCCAACAATCTATAGGATAATAAATTTTTCTTCAGGCCTTTCATGTGCCGCACATCTCAAACAACTTTAATTATTCCATCATACATCTTCAATTTGATGGCTCCAACGCCAATGATCTCTAAGCATGATCATTGCAACTATACACAGATCCTCCTGAGACAGGTTCATAACGATGTAACCATTCTCTTCTTGAGGTCATGTGATATGTTTCTCCCGAATCAATGAGCCATATATCTGCAAATCTTTTTCTACCTTCCACGGTGGTTAACGCTTCACAACATAGAATATCTCTATCATCTGAAGTGTTTGCGGTATTGCCTTGTGGATTGGAGTTTTTAACTAGATTCCAACAATCCTTCTTCAAGTGACACATCTTTCTACAGTTGTAGCACTTTAAATTCTTCTTGATTATCGACTTTGATCTACTATGTTTGTGACTGCTTCTTTGGCCACGTTCTGTTGATCTCCCTCTCATCGTTGTCAACGCTTCTGCTTGTTGCAGATTTACTTATCTTTCTTCCTTGTTCTTGCGCCGATTTTCTTCTTGTAGAACAATAGCTGCAACGTCATCGAAGACTAGATTGGTGATATTATTTTTGGTCAAGTTGATGATGATTTGATCATACAAATCTGGTAGACTTTAAAGTAGAAATTCAACACGTTCTTGTTATTCTATTGTACATCTTAAGGATGTAAGCTGAGAAAATAAAGTGTTCAATGTGTTTAAGTGCTCCGTCACTGAAGTAGATTCTAGCATACGGAGAGTGTACAATTTCCTCTTAAGGAAAATTTTATTGTGCAACGATTTAGCCTCGTACAGTTTGGTGAGATGATCTCATATCTCCTTAGTTGTATTCTTCTCCTCGACGCTTGACAATACTTCATATGCTAATGTTAGATGAAAGTTTGCCATAGCATTCCCGTCCATTTCGATCCATTTGTTGTCATCTGTGAAATCTACTGGCCTTTCACTGATAGCTGTTAGACAACCATATTTCCTCAGGATGGCCTTCATCTTCAATTTTCACAATAAGAAATTTCTCATATTGAACTTTTCAATATCAAATTTCGTTACCATAGCTTATATTACGGATAGCTCCTACTATTTCACCATCGTTAATAGTTCTTTGGAACCTTCAAAGAAAGAGTAATACATTCTTACCTTCCTATGTTGGAGGATCTACCTTTTGGTGACAACCAATAAGACAATAAGTAGATATCACACACTCAAATTTGGCTCTGATACCAATTATTGCGGAATACAACTATCGAATAGAGCAAAATCGCAACTGATAATTTAAGAAAATAAAAATAAAGATAAAAAGACAAATTTTACGTGAAACCCCCTAAATAATATAAGGTAAAAACCATGGGCAAATATAGAAGAATTTCACTATGAGAAAAATAGGAATTACAACTTCTCTCGATCTAATAAGGAGAAAACAATGACAATTCTCTCTTGGTAAAAAAAACAACTCTAAAAAAAACTCTCTAAATTCTCTAGTATTGGGAGAAAGCTAAAATGATTTTGGATGGTTTTGAAGCTAAATGGGTTAGGGTATTTATAGTTGAAGCTTAAGGACTAATCTTGTAAATTTCCTAAAGTATAGGGACTAAATATATAATTTTACCATGTCACTTTTCAACCAACTTGTATATTTAGTCTCTATAATTTAGGGTATTTATAAGATTAGTCCTTAAGCTTCAACACCATCGACTTACTAGGAGGAAAGAATGGAGTTTTAAGGGTTTAATCACTCTAGGTTTTCTTTGATTGGAATAAAGGAACGACCTTTGGGTCTACGGAGGAATAAATAACTGAAAATCATCTTGTGACAACTTCTTGGGTGCCTTGAAGATCTGATTACCAGTTACATTCTCGGGTTAGTAAAATTGTTGTTAAGAATTTCGGAAAAGAACTTGAGTAGGTTAGAAGTATCAATAAGCACTCACATTTTGGTTAGAGTTCAATCATGACATTATGTTGTTGGTCCAAAGATGATTCCTTTATATAATAATAATAATAATAATAAGAAGAAGAAAAAGAAGAAGAGATGGTTGACATGAGGTAACTGCCACGTCAGATTCAAGTAACGGGAGGTAACGACATGGACTATATTGAAAAAGAATTAAAAGTTCAACGCAAACGTTCTAAAATTTCAGGGACTATTTATATAATTTACCTAAAATTTTAAAACATATGATAATTTAAAATTTGTATTACTTGTCACTCTCCTATAAATCTATCCTTGTTTTAGACAATGATTTAAAACCTTATAATATGGATTGGATAGATATTCATTATTCACCATTAATCTATAGAAGAAGGTTTTACAATGACAAACCATCTAAAATATAAGATCCACACTATATTCAATCAATTAAATCACACCCTTCGCCAACATTCAAGTGGCAATAATCTAAAAACTCTAAACCAGGTCAAGCCCACAAGTCTCTTACTTAGCTCCTATATTTTGCATGATTTCTCCTCATCACTACTTTCCTCAGACAACTACTTCTTGAATAAAGTCGGATCTTTGTTCTAGCTCCAATAAACACCCAATTTTGTCAAGTTCGATTCACTCACAACATGCATCACAGTAACATAGTTGTGATAATATACAACTTATAAAACAACAATCAATGTTATATACTAGTTTCATAAGTGAATGTTTGTAATCTGAGTTAGTTTTTTTTCATGGCGATTCAAATGTACTATTGTCTACTAAACTATATCATTTATATCAAGTTGTTCCTTAAAATATTTTTCGAATCATTTTTTCTACTTAAGTCTAAATTATGACCTAATTTTCCCCAAATCATTAACAACATTAAAAATTCAAGAATAAATTAATATTTAGTCACTCAAATAGTTAATTACAACTACAATTTCATTTTCGTCACTCAATTATAATTTTACCAAACAACATGTATAAGGCATAGCGAAGAGTTCTCCAATCCCCACATCTCTCTCTCTCTGTTATTATAACCAGTGTATCAAATAACGTTCGCGGACATAACAGATGTTATTGCATTCACTGCGGGTGTTACGGTCGTGAATTTTTTTTTAAATTTTGCATAACTTAAACATAATAAAAATAATTGTGATTATGAGAAATCATTTTTAATGATTTTTAAAATATTTTCTAAGCGAAAATTGACATATATATAATATAGTTTAATCAAATACAAGACTTTAAAAATCCAATGATAAACCAACATTAAAGAATGATAAACCAAATACAAGAGCTAGCTATTGGAAACTTTGAATGTCTAGACAGCTGGATCGTTTAGAGGGAAATGTTGATTAGCTCGCAGTCGGGCTAGGCCAGCATTAAAGAATGATAAATACAAAATGTGTGTAGGAAGATTACAAGGCCCACCTTATACTCACTTGGTCACTCCATCAGATGATTATTTTGCTGAAAGCCCAAGCAAAAACACAACATGCTGTCCACTCTTTTTGTTTAAATTCATTATATTAGTTTGATAGTTTCTCAAACCCATTTCACTTATTTTAGGTTTTTCCTATCCCCACTCCACAGTTTACTCTTCTTCACCCCCACGACCCATTTCACTCTTCTTCAAGCTTTACTCATTTTTTGGTTAGATGATATTTCTATTTTCTAAACAATTATTCCTAAACTAAGTAGCAAAAACACTTATAGATTATTTATTTTTTAGTTTTACCTTCTTAAATAGAAGCTGGAAGCTTGATGCCGTGATCTACTCCTTCACTGGATGTGAAGCTCGACGGACAGAAGACTTTCATCCAAGAGCTTTGTTTTTCTGGCTCTTCCCCTTCCAGATTGATTTTTGGTAAGATATGTGGGTATTTGATGTTTTACCGTCCACTAAATTACCTCTGTTTTGTAAGCTACTATGCTTGTAAGTTGTCAGCCATTTTTTTTCTCTCTTTTCACTTTTCAATATACTTTTGGCTTGAATTGAATAAAGATTGTTTATTTCTTTTGGCTTTTGCAGATCGTAACTTGTAGGGAATATATTCTGTTGAAAACATTTTGATATTTTGATATAACAAATTAAGATAAATGAATTTTAAGATTTTTCAAAAAGATTTTCTAAGTATATTCGATATAATTATTCGAATATCGAAATATTACTCCAAATCTTTCAAATGTCATTTTTGATCCTTACTCAAGTGTAAAATTAAGTTTTAATCTTAAAATAATTTCAAAACAATTTTACAAAGTATTTCAAACCGTTTCAAAGCCAAAAATTCCAGATTGCTCAGAGGGAACCGATTCCCCCCCAAGGGGGTACCGATTCCCCCTGAATAGGTTTGGCTCCGAGAATTCCAGTATGCTCGGAGGGAACCGATTCCCCCAGGGGTATCGATTCTCCCTGTTTAACGGTCAAAATATTTGAATTTTACACTTAGGGAACCGATTCCCCATGAGGGGTACCGATTCCCCCCACGCTCCAAGTTGTTGTATTAATGGTTTTCATACTTAAACGGCTCCATTG